TTTAAAATTATATCATGGCTAGAAACTTGGCAGCTTGCCCTTTCAAAGTGACAGCTTTCAAAAAGTCTACCTAACACAATTTCGTCTAATTCCAAACACATGAGAAAATGGGCTGTTAAAGAAAGGAAGAAAGTCTCTCCCCAAGCGTCAGCTCCCTCCCTGCCCTCCTACTCTCTCCCTAATATGAAAAAAAGTGGATTATCTTCTCCCCGGGTTGCAAAAATATTCTTCTGAGAATGATTATACCTGTCACAGATGGAATCTCGAAATAAGTTAAATGTTTAGGTTCATATTCTAGGAATTCCCTGGTGAGCTGAGTTCTCCCTGAAATCTTTGGTAACATTATTACTAAGCTATAGGTGTTCACGCTATGTGTGAGGAAGTAGGTCTGTTTATGATGGGAAGAGCCACAGGAAAGCTTTTTCTCACACATCTCTTGGTGACTCAGGAGGAGCAAGTATAATTAGAACAATTAAAGGCATTTTTCTCCCGCAGTTATTATTTAAACTGTTGCTACTAAGAAGTCCTATAGCCTAAAATGCTTCAGAAATCCCGGAGCAAGAGAAATGAGACTCACACCTTCTTCAGAGGCTAAACGTTTTTTGGTCTACATTTCCTCTAACCTGGAATATTTCCACTCAATTTTCTATTTGCTATGAAAATTACTCATATAAACCATAAATAAGAGTCAACAGCAAGTTCCCTGTGTTCAGAGGAATAGAAAGACAGTAGGATCTTTAATGCTTATTGTAATGTGACCCCTGTCAGGTTTCTAAGGCTCATCTTTTCTGTGTCCTGCAGCTAATTCTCACCACTAAGTAGACGCTGTCTGTCTTAAAATAATTTTCTATATATTCTTATTCTCTTCTTTCATCTTTTAAAAGAGTCTTATTTCTTCTCTACCTACCAGATGTGTGTGTGTGTGTGTGTGTGTGTGTGTGTGTGTGTGTGTGTGTAGGTGTTGTGGCGGTATGCATGTCCGGACACATATTTGAAGGTCAGAGAAGGATTTTGGATTTTGGATGCCATTCTCAGTCGTTTTATGTCTATTTCTTTAAGGCAGGGTTTCTCCTTGAGCTTGAGATTTGAGTTTTCTCAGTTAGTTTGAAAACAGAAAAACTCGGCCATCTTCCTCTTCTCGCACCACAAGACCTGGGGTTAGAGGACTGTGCGTGATGCCTCATTAAGAACATGGGTACTAGGATCTGGTCCTCATAATTGTACATCAAGCTTTCTCATCCAGGACGTCGTTTCTCTATCTCATCTCTCTTTCTTCGTTTGACATGTGGTCTACATCATCTGTATATAGTACAGACTACTTGAAAACTCGAGATCTCAGCCTTCAGTGCACTGGGATTACAAAGATGGCCCTTGTTTATATTCCTTTTATTTTAGATGAGAGAGAGAGAGAGAGAGAGAGAGAGAGAGAGAGAGAGAGAGAGAGA